GGTCGACCACGGGGACTCCATCTCGATGAAACTGACGACATAACTCAGACTTCGCAGTCAGCCCTGTGTATGTGTTTTTCCCTAGGTGCAGGCCACCTACGCACTAGCCGCCTCTACCAGGTGACTAACAGGCTCCAGCAGTAGACCGGTGCCTGAGAGTGGGAAAGTAGCTTGACGTCGACTCTGGGGACCCCGTCTACGCGAAATTTAGCACACAATCCTCACTACAGACAGTCGGGTGCGCTAGCACTGCGCAATAGTAGCTCCAGCCTGTACGGCTACCATCCGACAGGATAACTCGGTCGCCATCTGACGATGAATACTCAGGCTATAGTAGCTTCTTCTTAGTGTGGTCTCTACGGCACTCCCGCCCAATTGAGATCCGAGCCGTTCTCTTTCTTGATGTCTGAAAATATGGTTCATCGTGTGCCGGCGAGACGCGTGTAGCACGCATAGACGGGCTGTTTAACTTTATCCGAGCTTTAAGCTTCGGTCTTCTTGATTCTGTTTTGATAACGGCCTCAATTGTCTGTGTGAGAGGGAAACTAGAGTTCGGTGGATTCAGTGTGAATCTACAGTCAATATCAACTAATTCACACGCAATTCCTCCGTCCTGTGCTTGCAAGGCTGTGGGGCTTACAGTATAGATAATCGCTGACGACAGTCTAGTTTTCATTGGATTGGTTAATTTACGGTGTATGGAGTGGTGATTAGAGATGTGCTTACGGTGCTTGACCGGCACGTATGACCGAGCTGGCCCATGTTGTGACTGAATATGCGTAGGCAGTTTCAGTGGTTGCGACAAGTACTTCCTGTGCTGGTTCGCCGGTCTCAGTGAAATGGATAAACGGGCCGATGCGGGACGTAAAGATGCAACTGTAATGGTGAAATGACAGAATTGAGTGCGTACTGCTGCTAGAATTGGTGGAAATTGTGGTGACGGGTGCTAGGGTACCAGAAGCGTTTCTATGGGTCGCGGAATTGCGAGTGGTAGTAGTAGATAGAAATGACTACGCCAACTCCAGGAGGCAGTTCCAGATCCTTATCTGCGACAGTCTCTAGTGATGGGTTCGTGCTAGAATCCGAAACGTCAGGCAAATGATTTTCACTTTTTAGCGATCACATCTCCTTTTTCCTGA